AAAGGAGAGATTGATGTTAAATTCAGTTTTAAGTTTAGAGAATCACGCCAGAATCGAACCAGTGTATCCTTGTCATTCTCTATACAGAATGAAAAGGAGAGACTGATGTTAAATTTAGGTTTAAGTTAAGAGAATCACGCCAGAATCGACACCACTGTATCTTTGTCGTTCTCTACACAGAAGAGAAGGAGAGATCGATGTTAAAGGACACCCGGCATTTTGTGCCAGTTGTATACTTTTTTAATTTTTTTATCTGTGTTTCTTAATTGGGTAACATAGTCTGGCAATATTTGTCATCAGCAGCTAGCTGTCAATGTCAAATACGTAGGTTTGTCATCAAAAGGGTAAATATTAATCATTAAATAACTTCTTTCCACAATTCACTAAAAATAAGGCAAAAGTAGTTTTATGTAGCAAATAATGTTGGCTTTATTTTGAGACCAAATTCAACTGTATACAAGTTTAGCATTTTTTCTATGAAAAGTGCCGGGTCTCCTTTAGTTTTCATTTTAAAGAATCATGCCAGAATCCTTGCACTAATTATTATGAATGTAGGGAGTTTCATTCTTAAGTGACCCGTACCTGGGTAAGTTTTTGAAGTTATACTTCTTTAGGCGCGTTTTGAAAAAATGATGAGAGTGAAATTTTTAGATGCGCGCGCATCACTGTAACCCAAAAGTAACAGCATGAAGTTGGCCGCGGGCGCGTTATGAAAAAATCATGTGAGTGAAATTTCGAGATGCGCGCGCATCACTGTAACACAATAGTAACACCATGAAGTTGGCCGCGGGCGCGTTATGAATGTGTAACTAAGTGGTTAATAATCCACCATTATTAGACATCTGTTCGAAAGGTACTTTGAACGATCCACGGAGCTCCATAAGATGATCGCGTTGTCAAAAACAATGTTGGCACGCTCGTCGCCTCTGATCACTGTTTTCATATTTATAATATTTATCCACATGTTTCTATTTTCTATATAGACACAACGTGTTTTAGTTACTTACAAGTGCTAATTACATATGGACTAATAACTTAAATTCAGTAGTGATTTTAATTGCATATTTATTTAATTTTTCAAATTAAAACTGAACTTAATTGACAGTGTTAACTATCCTTTTCCAGTCCTTTTATTATTTTATTGTAATTATTAATTATTTGCATGCAATTAAAAAATATTTTTAATGATGCTAAAGAAGTATAACTTCTCACGCGCGTACATAAGTTACACGCATCCATTTTTTTTTTAACTACAGGATTGTTTATAGATCTAATGTGGAACGATAGTGAACGTGGACTAGTGGAACCAGCTATATTTTGATAGTATTTTTATCAAACAAGATACAAAAAAACCCAGGACACAGACACGTCGATTTAATGCTTGTCAAAGTGATATAAATATTTTATAATAAGATTTTGTACAATATGATGAATGTGAGAGCATCAACTTTAACGTCTTGGAGTATGCTTGAAAACTTGTAATACCTAATAACAACTTAAGGAGATCGACAGAGGCGGACGGCGCATTAAGGTAAGGTACAATTCAGAGACAATTTTTTTACTAGAGAAGTTTCTAAGTCAGAAAATAATTGGTTAATGCATCCTGGCCTGGATAGAGGATGATAAGTGTTTGAATCCCGTCAGAAACCTAGACTGAGAGGATTTTTTTCTAGTAATAGCTTTTCTTATGTACCTATATTTTTTTTTAATCTCATCAGAACTTTGGAAGCTACGATAAACCCGGGTGCATCTGCAGTTGTCAGTTGATTGATACCAACACACATTGGGTAGAAAAAGAAGCTTAAGGAGACGGAGGTAGGTAGAAACATTTTTATTTATGGTGTTTACTTACTGTAACTTAAATGCTTTGCCACTTCTACAAAAACATAGATGTTAGTTTGTATGAGAGGGCAGTATCTTCCATGGGGAGTACAAACATGAGGTAACAAGACCTGACACAGCAACAAACATTTTTTCTAGCTTTGCTATTTAATCTGTATTATGGAAGTAGATAATTTACTGCCAAGACCTGATATACATTAGTTTCTTCTTATTAATCCATAGGTGGTAATAGCAAAACCATCTATGAATGGCAATGAATGGCTAATGTAGGTAAATACTGTATAAATTTTGCTAATTAAGCAAATACTAGTAGACACACAAAATCAACCTTTTTACAATAAGTAATAAGAACTATCATTATCTATTGACTATTGTGAAAATTACATAATATTCAAAGATGCCAATTGTCATTGGATTACATGACTCATAATATAGCAAAATGCTAACATGAAATGGATACTATGCAGCTGTGTTAATAAACTGTGAAATACACATACAATGCAATATTGTATGATGGTCACGCATGATAAACATTTTAAAGCAAGATTCAGCTTTTAGTATGGTATAATTTCTGAACTTATCACATACTGGGTAGAACATGTTTGCTACATGCTTTTCAAATCTCATGATAATATTTTTTTTACTCACTGTACCATTAATAGATACACAAGCAAACTATCACATTATATTAATTTCAATTTGTCACAATCTCTAAACTTAAAACTAAATTTAACATCAGTCTCTCAGTCAGAAAAAGATACACTGTTGGTAAATTAAGGTTAGGTAATGAAATGAAAGTTTATTTGCATGAAACATAGTTTGTTACAGCTGGTAAATAATATAAAAAGTTCCATATGTTTCACCCTTGGAAGAGCATACAAAATACTAATAAATTATCTAAAAAATCAAAGGACATGGCTAAGAAACTGCTAGGTAGTTAGGTTTAGGTTGTCAAATGAATCATGGTGGAATCAACACCAATGGGTATTTAAATATATTATTTAACTACAGTTTGATTATTTCGTGGTTATACATACGGGTCGCGGCTACTTCAACTAACACATTTGTAATATAGGTATTTCTGACAGCCCTCTGTGCAGAGCCTGCCTGGAGGAGGAGGCGACAAGCGCCCATGTTCTACTGGTGTGCAGGGGTGTTGCAAGACAAAGGACTTCTCTAATGGGAAGCCCGAAGACAATAGTAGAGGCCTGCAGCAACATTTTTAGGCTGCTGAGCTTTCTGAAGAAGCTGGGATGACAGGACTGATGCCAATCCCCACGCAAAATAGGCACTGTGTGTCGAGTTGCGGAAACAGCCCGCCGTACTACTAAGACAGTCTGATTATTTCTAGAATTTGAGAACCATAGGTACAGTACCTACAGTTTGAGCTCAGTTATGTGCCTGGTCGTCCGTCCCGTCGACTTTAAGAAAGACCAAAGAAAAACGAAATACCACTTTTTGGTAGTGTAGTTTTTCTATTAATGATTAATGTTCCAGGGATTCAGGGTGCAGGCCAGTAAAATAACAGCAGTGGCTCACTTTATTCTGACAGCCATATAAACTTTAATGTGGTGAGGTAATTTGCTATGCCTTTTATAATAAATAAATATAAAATTTGTAAAAAAGTTTACGAAATATCATTTCAGCATAATAGTAATTGCTGCTGGTTTAGTATTTATAAGTTAAAATACTAGTAAGTGCCTCCTTAAATTTCTATCCAAATGTTTCCTCATAATTAAACTAGACATGGTATATGGTTGAAATTCAAGTATGCAATTTTAGCGTCACCATCTCTGGAGTTCAGTTTTGTTCCTTGATTAGTGTCCCATAAGAAACTTGCACCAATGTGGGGCACTAATCTTCGTTAGGGGGCGTCCATAAATTACGTGTGGTGTTTTTTTGAATTTTCTGTCCCTCCCTCCCCCCCTGGTAAGATGTCGTGAGATTTTATTCAACCCCCTCCCCCCTTCCCAAATCTCACGTGTGATTTTTCTAAATGTGGGTTTCTTATGTAAACGCGTTGAATTGTTATTGTAAAAAGAAAAAAAAATTGCTTCGTGTTTTTATTTACGACTACTATCCTTTCGAACCAATAAGTCAATGATTTAATCGTATTACGATAACGCTTACGATTAAATATTAAGCATGTACAATCTAGATTAAATGGACCAAAATAGAACTTTTTTGTTCCATTAAAAAAAAAGGGGTGATATTTGCGGAGACCCCCCCTCTCTCCAACGTAAGATTAGATGAGATTTGACTCGACCCCCTCCCCCCCTTAAACATCTCACGTAATTTATGGACGCCCCCTTACCATTATAGTTCCTGTACTACCATTTCCATAACATAACTTCTGACGCTACAGCTACTCATGATTAGAGCAGAGTGTTTAATGTTGTTGTTTACATGGAAATAAGAAGGGAGCAAGGGTGGGCATTGCCCAGTTGTTAACTAAATTAGTACTTATATGTAGACAGGTTTTAAACTATCTATTTTTAAATGGCCGATTGCAACAAAAACTTACTTCCCGTTAGCTACTTTCAGTATCATAGAGTCTTGTCTATAAATCTACTATCATATGCATAAATGTTGTTTACAAAATAAGGACACAATTTCAGTCAGATCCAAACAATACTGAATTTAACTTACAAAGACCTGTGTGATGTAATGTTTCATAGAATGTTTGTATTTGTACTTCCAAGGCCCAATAGGTGATACTCAAACTTTTTTGTAGAAAAGGTCTCATTAAAAATAAAAGGCACTGCGCCGGCTTCTGCAGCGGCATGCTTGCTTCGCTCGCTCGGTTCGCGCGTTATGGTCGCAACACTAACCAAACCTAGTGTGGAGTATCACCACTTGGGCCCCTGAAGCACGGTTTAGCTAATATCTAAATAAACAAGAAAAATTCCTAAGATGTCAATTTAAAAGACTCAAAACATTTAGCACTGGCTACATTGAATTCATCTTAAATAAACATGTTTGAATTTCGCATTAAAGTGAGAAATAATTGAAACTAAGTTTGTTATTCCAGTAGGTGGATTAGGCAATACTAACAAATTGGGTAATCACTGACAATGCTTTGTGAAACAGTGGATCTTGTGAAAGATTTGATAAGATCTACTTGGTTAAAACTTAGTTAATCATAAATGTTAACTCACGGTTCTGGACTGTATTGAGCACCACCGAAGAAGCCATGCCTGTCCGGTTGTGTGGTCACTGATGAACATATTGAGGTTGTGTCTGCTTGGTCCGACCTATCTCCTCCCGAACTTTTAACACTCTTTTGTAGAGACATGTTTATCTACTCCACCAACTACCTGCCGAACAGTAACATCACGCACAGCCGCTTCCGACAACCACTTCGAACGCCCACACGTAACTATGAATTAATTATTACTAAACAATATAACTGTTCCGCACGTTCAGTTGTTCACGCCCGTCGTCTAAACAAAACAGATCGATGTTTCTCTACAAACGATAACTGAGTTACACACATAATGTGATTACTTAAACAGAGTTATCACACAGTAAAAATGATATCAACACGGGCGCAGAATTGATACAACTTATTTATTTTTCTTATCAAAATTCAATCAAGAAAGTGTGGGTGGATAAATTCGACATCATACGTCATTTTTAGTGATGCGAAAATATTTACAATTTGTAATTTCAAGAGACTAGTCGTATAATATGTCTATGGTTGTATCAGTATTTTGATCACAGGTACGCAGCATACCTGTGATCATAATTCTAAGATTAAACCATAAGCATAGTTGTGGTATTAGGTTCTAACTTTTAACCATGTACTAAGTTAATGTGATTATTACGATTTCATTGAAATACTTGTTTTATAAACGTGTTTAAAACTTACTTGTGAACTGCGGTTACCTATGATTCTATAATTGTCTATTCTGTGGTTCATTACTCTGTGTTTATGCTCAATTAAATGATATACATTCTTGTAAAACGCCGCCAATATACCGCTTATATATTTCCAAAATCATACTTTCATTGAATAGAACCCAAAGTTACAGTATTTTATATGCCCAATATTCCAAATATTCCACAAACAAATTATACAAAAGTATGTTTTAGTCGTATTAAACTACATAATAAATATACATAACTGGTATGCTTTTTTAAAACTCTGCCAATAATATGTGTGTATTTGAAACATATGATGTTACTATGTACGCTAGTGCATTATATATAAAAAAATAAATTAAAATATATAAAGAAAGTGTTGTGTGATACGTAAGGCAACACTGGATGACTCTTAAGTCAATACCAATCTAAGATAGTTACTTAATTAATAAGTTCCACATGGATAGATGCATAGCAGTCTTATATTTAAATCATTATTAAACTAGCTGTTATCTATTACATGTATCTGTTCTGTGGTTGTGATTTTTCTTTTTGGAGTTTACTCCTCTGAATCGATTTGCATATATAAGGGGCCCGGTATGAGAAAAATGTGAGGAGTAAAATCTATCGATGAATGACCTCGTTACGTTTTTGGTGCGCATCCTATATCGCGCAACTTTGACAAACAAAGATGACGGATTGACATTAATAAATTTTTTAAAATGTGAACTGAATTTAGATATTGTTTCTGATAGAGCGATGGGGACAACGAGGTTATGGTACAACCATTGATGCGGTATTTTCAAGATTCGTGAACCACGTATCTACGAACGTCCATGTGTCTTATTTTAGTTACCATAAACCACTTGTCACTGTAATTAATAATGCAGACAATGTTGATTTAATTTATTTAAAAAAATGATAATAGTCTAATAATAATAATTACATAATTTATCAACATTGCTAATGATATATTTATGCACATCTGAAATTGACTATTGTAAAAAGTTTAATGTATAATATTTTGTCGATTAGTTACTTATAATAAATGTATATGAAATGAATAAATATATAAGGTGAAATTGAATGTTTTAATGAAACTTCGTGAGATTGTTGGGTTACGTGTATAGAGTATGCCTGATTTTTTTTCGGATTTTTGAAGATTTTTTTTCATGTATTTATTTATAACTTGTGTATTTTTTTATGTGTCTTCCTCCTTTTGAGTAGTTATTCATTTTAAACAAACATACTTACATATCCAGTGAAAAACAACTAATAAATAAGCACTTCTAAAAAACGGAAAAACATTGAAATTCCACCGCGGGTCAACGACCGACCGCGCCCGCCAGCCGTTGAGTAAGTAGCTACCTAACTCTAACCAGAGCTCAACTGACTCGTTTGATTCCACACAATAGGTACAATAAAATCGTCTTAGATGCCTTTATTGAAATTGAAATAATAAGCACAAATGTCATCTTTTCTTAAGCAGAGAAAAACTATAAAAGTTTATAATAATTTTGTCACGATTGGAAATAAGCAAATGTTAAACAAAAAGAAATACTTATTGCAGTTCAATACTTGGGTCAGAATGAAATTTATAACCAGGTATTCAAAAGTACTTACGAGACCGATGTACCTATTCATTTTTTTCACTTTAACTTTCCGTATACACTTTGTAAACAGAATCAATCACCAAACCTACTTTCCTAAAGCCTTGTGGCTCTGCTGAGTATTCCGTGACACTACAATAACAACACACCATATCCAACTTCTTATATTGAGGCCACAGAACAAGAACTAATCAAGACATTATTTGCAAATCTTCTCTTGTCATAAATTTAAAAGATACGCACGCGCGGTGTTAGACTTGACACTGCGCTCGCTCACTGCGCTGTGCACCGCGCATAGGTAGGAAGGTATTCAACGGCGGGAGCGGTCATTGCTCCCGGCCGCTCGTCTTCTGTTTTTACGTTTTTTTAGTACCTAGTGCTTATTAGTTGTTTTTTACTTACTCTGTATGCGTGTTTAAAAAGAATAATTATTTAGTACCCAAAAGGAGGAAAGGACTTACAATAAAAATAACAAAAAAAAAACGAAATTTTATTTTAAATCATTTTTAAAAAATCGAAAAAATTCAGAGATACTCTATACACGTAACCCAACAATCCCACGAAGTTTCATTAAAACATTAAATTTCACCCTATATATCTATATAGGGTGAAATTGAATGTTTCTATGAAACTTCGTGAGATTGTTGGGTTATGTGTATAGAGTATGCCTGTCTTTTTTCGGATTTTTTTGAAGTATATTTTTTTCATGTATTTATTTATAATTTTTATGTCCTTTCCTCGTTTTGAGTAGTTATTCATTTTAAACAAACAAACTTACATATCCAGTGAAAAACAACTAATAAATAAGCACTTCTAAAAAACGGAAAAACATTGAAATTCCACCGCGGGTCAACGACCGACCGCGCCCGCCAGCCGTTGAGTAAGTAGCTACCTAACTCTAACCAGAGCTCAACTGACTCGTTTGATTCCACACAATAGGTACAATAAAATCGTCTTAGATGCCTTTATTGAAATTGAAATAATAAGCACAAATGTCATCTTTTCTTAAGCAGAGAAAAACTTTAAAAGTTAATAATAATTTTGTCACGATTGGAAATAGGCAAATGTTAAACAAAAAGAAATACTTATTGCTTAATACCCCAAGAATGAAATTTATAACCAGGTATTCAAAAGTACTTACGAGACCGGCGATTTAGGTAGGTACAACGAGGAACGAGGAACATATTCATTTTTTTCACTAGAACTTTTTATCAAATCAATCACACTGGTAGTACACAATTAGTTGTTTCTAATCAAAAAGTATTTACACTAGCAATAAAAAGAGACATAAATTATTATCTGCAAAATTGTTGCTCTAAACCACCATTTTGCTGCAAACAAAGGTTGCCTGTTTGCGGACGTGTCTTTTCACCTTTTTTAAAGTGTCCCTATCACTACTCACTGCACAAAATGCAACTTCTATGGTTTAGGGACTCATTCGTAAACCAAACCTACTTCGTCACACTCGCGATAGCAGTACACCATCTCTAAATATTCTTGGTTTGTATACCGAGGCATAATGAAATTATCACAGTGTATGTCACCAAGTCAAAAGATGCGCACGCTCACGCGCGATTAATATACTTGCGACTGCGTTTTGCATGCAATCAAAGCAAACGTCCGCGTGCGGGGAAGAGGGGAGGTGGGCGGAATTCACATCATCAAAGACGCCGCAACCGGCGCTAGTTGCCAGCGTGCGGCGCGCCGCCCGCCCGTGCTTGCCGCAAAACAACATATTATTATGTGTGTGTGTGTGTGTATGTGTGACTGTGGCTGTGATTAAATGTGTTCGGAATTTCATGACGTGGGCAAATCAGACACGAAGAGTTCCTTCCTTCCCTAAGCTCGTAAGTTATACCGATTTGCTCTTAATTTTAAGAAGATTTATATTATTGATTAATTACCTGTGCTTTATGAAATAATATTCAAAGGTATTGTGTATCAGTGAATAAATAATTATAATATAGCATCTAAGACTATTTTATTGTATTGTTTTTAAATAGTGTGGATCAAAGCGAGTAGGTAAGCGCCGAGTCATCTGTGCGTGTAGTTAGGTACCTACAGGCGGACGCCGGTCGTCGCCCCGACCGGCGCTGATCTCGACTGTAGGCATAATGAAGGCATTCATTAAGTTTCCGTTTTTTTATTAGTGCTTATTTTAAGTTGCTTTATAACTTCTATGTAGACGTGTTTAAAATGAATAATTACTCATAAGGAAGAAATGACAAAAAAATAACCAAATAAAAAATTAAAAAACGAAAAAAATTATTTTAAAAAATCCGAAAGAAATCAGGCATACTCTATACATGTAACCCATCAATCTCACGAAGTTTCATAGAAACATTCAATTTCACCCTGTATATGTATATTATTTTCATTAATTTGTTAATTTACCCTTTCATACAGTATCAATCTTTTTTAAGTAAAATAAACTCTTTTTGCGTCTGGTTTGACTATCGAACTTAAGGAGTAAATTCTAGTCATGCGTCGGAGCTGACACACACATTTTTTTTTCTGTTAATGAGTTTTGAATGCATTACAATATAAAAATGTTACCTTAGTCTTTTTCCGTATAAATTTTAATTATGCAAAATCTTTAACAATCTCCGTGTACACATTGTTCTTTAAAGGATACGAAAGTTTTCTCTACTATCATCATCAACAGCCTATCTTAGTCCACTGCTGGACATAGGCCTCTCCAAATGCACGCCACTCAGATCGATCTTGGGCTACTCGCATCTAGCTCCTGCAAGCCACCTTGCGCAAATCATCACTCCGTCGCGCCTGAGGACGTCCTACACTACGTTTGCCTAGACGCACCCTCCATTCCAGAACTCGCGTACCCCAACGGTTATCGGTTCGTCGACAAATATGGCCAGCTTGCTACCACTACAACTTGCTAATCCGGTGGGCTATGTCGATAACTTTGGTTCTCTGTCATTACCTCTTATTACTCCTTTACCTCATTTCTGATGCAATCCTTCAGAGAAACGCCGAGTATAACCCTTTCCATAGCGCGCTAGCGATTTTGAACCTGTGGACCAGCCGTACCGTCAGTGTCCACGTGTCAGCTCCGTATGTCATCACAGGTAGGACGCACTGGTTCTCTACCACACATCTACATATAAATTAATATGAATAGATTAAAATATGTTATTGAGATACCTACATGTAGTGTAGGTAGTTATTGAAACTGTTTATCAATAGTCTACTGTTATTTTTATATAAGAATACAATAAACTCCACTCCACCAGGCAGCGTGAGCGATACAAACAACATGCTTTTTCTAATATAAATAAACTAAATATATATAGTTAAAAATAAACATTAAAATGTAAATAATTTAAATATTTACAAAATGGTGAATAATTATAGGAACATGTATACAGTAAATTCAACAGTCATAATTCAATAAATTGATGAAATGAAAATATTCCGAATGTAAAAAACACACTATAAATACACACATGAATTATAAATAAACATTTTAGTAACAGTTACCATGTGGAACAGGTTTCTTAAATTACTTGTTGCAAACTACCCCAACCCTAGGACAATTTCTGATCTCATAGGTTGAATAGGCTCTATAGGTACTCTTTACCAGCACTTTACATGGCTATTCGTTTATTACCTATTCGTGTTTTGCTGTTTGTAAACTAGACAACAGTCTCTCTTTTTTACTCTTTATAAAGTATGACAAGGACATACTGTTATCAAAGTGGAAGTAGCAAGCACGAATAGCCGGTAGAAAATATATGTTATGTCCAGCAAAAGAAATGTACAAAAAAAAATCAAGATTTTATTTATTAATATTTTAAAAAGTACACTTCTGCATCTACTGTTTTTCTTTCCATACATCTACTGTTTTTTTCTATAACGCCTCCCGATTTTTGAAAATCGGACCTGGCAACACTGCATCTGTCTGTGAAATTGGGAATCAAAACAAAGTGAGGTTATATTATTATTATTTTGGAAATTAAAGAAATGAATTCGCTTAGAAATTTAAACAAATTGCAGCAACGTTTTAGCTCTACCGCCACTGCTGAGTTTGTTAATAGAAATCCTAGAAATCTTGAAAGGATCCGGATAGCTCGAAAACCTGATGGTTACCATTTAGATAAACCTGATCGAAAATATTGGCACAAGTGAGTTACTGACCACTGCATACGGTTATTTATTGGAATTCTTAATGTTTTTGGGTTATCTTTTATTCGAATAATGAATTAAAAGTAGGCGTCTTATTTGATAGTCACAAATTCTAATCAAGGCAAATTTTCATTACAGACTTGTTTTAACACCAAGTAATCGTATTGTAACAGCTCAAGTTGTGCACTTTGTGAATGGACCTGTGATAGAAGCAAAGACTTCAGAATGGGCTCTGCGTAAACAGCTTTACAGCTCGAATGACACATGTGCTTACATAAATCTAGCAAAAGTCTTTGCTCAAAGATGTCTAGAGTCGGGCATTTCTGAGATGTTCTGCAATATATCTCCAACCAAAGGTGGAAAAGTTGAAAAATTTCTTAATGTAGTTGTAGAGAATGGCATTAAATTGACTGAACCTGAAGTTTATAGAAAACCAAATCCATGGGATGAAGAGAGGCCAGAAAAACCATGGGAAGTGAGAGAAGAATAATGTTGACAGATTAATTACTCTTATGAAATAAACAGTAGCATATTCATATGGACTTCTCATTTTTGTTAAAATATCTGTAAAGTACATTGAATCTGTAGAATTGCCTTTAAAATCAAATCAGCCTTCGTCACCGAGTCCAGATTTTATAATGAAAATATTATATAGTATTTATAGAAGTGATGAAGAACTGTGTTAGATCATGTGTTACTTAGCAAAAATCATATTGAATGTTATATCATCTGGATGCACCTTCAAACAAGCTTTTATCAGATCGCAAATAAATAATTCATTTTTTATCTATGTATTTAATTACTGAACCTATTAACAAAATTTTATATTCTTTAAAGGAATGAATAGGTCTTCATGTTTTGTAATGGAAAATTAAAAGAAGATGCTGAGACAGAGGCTAAACGGACTTATATTGTTTTTCTTGCTCTCCAGTGGAATTAATAAAAATTAATGAATACTCTAAACCAAGAAAGTTGCTTCTTGCTCAAAACAACCTAAAAAAAATGAGATATGACGGTACGATAAGTGTGAAAGCATTGTGAGAGAAATGAAACGATCGTGCAGCCAATAGTACTTTTATGTATGTATTGGATTCACCATCGTATCATAATACAAAAATATGAGGTTGAATAGATTTTGTTAACTGCGTTCAAACAAGGTAGAATGTATCTCTGTTTTCTTTTGCTTTCCTAGAAAAGGCAGAATTTAAAAAAAAGTTCCGGATTATATGTTTGTTATTTTATTGTGAGCCTTTCGTTATGTGAAATGTAATATTAGTATTATGAATTCATTTTTAAACTTTTTGCTGTAATATTTATTATGTAATATTATGGTTTATGTACTGTACAGTAAATTAATAAAATATAAGTAGCTAAAATGAGTCATGATTGAAAATGGCGGAAAGTATCATGGCGTCCAATTCTTTTTAAATATAATGTCAAACATATGTCTTTCTCTTTCTTACACACGTAAACGCCGTACGCTATTGGGCACGCGTAGTGATCAATATGTCCACGTGATCTGTCGTCAGTCGCGCTACTCGCGTAATTGCAAATGCAAAATGTCTGAGATGAAAACGTTTGTGCTACAATGAAATCATATTTTGTTATTATCAGTGTAGTGTTATAGTTTTAAAATGCCTGCATCAATTGGTGTGAATTTACGGGTGACTGGTCACTGCAGTCAAGGCGGGAGAAAGTATATGGAAGACTTGTTTTCCGTTGCTTATCAACAAACGGAAGATGAGAGGGATTTGGAGTACGCTTTCTTTGGTATTTATGATGGTCACGGGGGCAGTGAGGCTGCAGCATTCGCTAAAGAACACTTGATGGACTCTATAGTGAAGCAACGCCAGTTTTGGTCTGACAATGACGAAGACGTCCTCAAAGCAATTAGAAATGGTTACATGTTGACCCATTTGGACATGTGGAAAGAATTAGGTAAACACCACCTGAATTAATGTATATGTAGAAGTATTTGCATGATGAGGAGTGTCTTTCCATAGACGCTCATTTGTTATCCCAAGGAAACGCTAAAGTGATTGTTTCAATGTTTCGTTCGACCTTGTTCAGCTCATTATTTTTTCTCGAATGGTTTGACATTGAGTCAACAAAAGTTTTTCGTTCGCTTTTTAGCTCAACCAGCATGAATACGCTCACTTACATTAGGCAACCTGTTACTTATCCAATTTTTGGGAAGTTCCATTTATTGTAAAGTGAAAGCAGTTTTACTGGTTTGCTCATATAATAAACCAGCCAAAAGTAGATGTTTCAACAACCAAAAACCTTTCAATTTGCTATAGATACCTATACAGTATAGTGGTACTGGAAGTTGCTTATCTTGAAATTTTGAGGTTATGTTTTTGTATGCTTCACTAGGTTCATAAAATGTTGGTATTTCCAAACTAATACAAGTAATTGTATTATCCATGTAATATGTAAAATATAAGACACAAGTATTATAGTAATATATGTTATTTACGCAACTGTTACCATGTACCTTGTTTTTAGCGAGTTACTCAGCACTGTTGCAAGTGCCATAATCACGTAGTAACCACTTACTCCTGAAAGTTTAAATTGTCTCTGTTTGTGTTACAGAAAAATGGCCAAAGACTGTCACTGGACTGCCCAGCACTGCGGGAACAACTGCGAGTGTTGCTTTTATAAGACGTGGCAAAATATATATTGGTCATGTTGGAGACTCAGCTATTGTACTTGGTTACCAGAAAGATGGTAAGTTAAATATAGTTTACCATACCTATTAATTTCAATTCATTAATGGTTCTATAATTTTATATGTACATGATGATAATTAGAATTGTTCCTCTTCATGTCTTTTACTATGTCTGGCAGTCAGAAAGCTGCTGTATAACTTATAGTTCCTGAGAGGTTTTTGCAGTTTTGCAAGCTAGATAATGTTGATAACAGCAAAGAAAGCTATTGATATTGGATTTCATATACCTAACCTCTCAAGTGATGACATGCCGAAAGTCGGCATCTGTCAATAAACCGTCAAGTGATGACATGCCGAAAGTCGGCATCGCGCGACTCTACGTAATCAGTGGCAATTAAAATATTCCTTCTTATTGCTATCACCTACATGCTTATATCAATTTGTAGAGGAAAGAACACGCTAGCTATCTAGCCATTGATTAAGTCAACTGCCATATGAAATATTTATACTATTGTCTGTGGAAGTTCGTCGTTCGCCGTTTTTTGTATGAAAAAAAATATGCCGTGTATTCAGACTATTTAAAGTGTTTTTCAGTGGTTTTTTTTTAAAAAAACACCATCCCTGGGCAAGTTAAATACATTAAGTTACTCTATTTTGATGTTTCGTGTGCGGGTTTACGTGTTTTTTTTTTTTATAATTTTTTTGTTACATCCCTCGTAAAAAAAAAACAATAAAAAAAAGGGTTTGTGTCTTATGTTTTCATGGTGATAATTTCGATAATAATTGTAATGTTTTAATTTATAATTATTGAATACATTATCCATGATTAATATTTCGAATACAGAGAATCTCTTGCGTTAGTATTTTTGAAGAAATAAAAAAAAACAAAAGCCGCGCAGTGTAACGGTCGTTCTAAATTCAAATATTCGAACGAAATATTTTTTCATATTATTTTCTTGTATGCGAACTAGTGATTAGTTTTTGTTTATTCTAAAGCAAATTTAATGTACATTTTGAAAAAAGAAACTGTTTATCAAAATTGTAAATACTTTTCGTTTTATCGACATAAAACTGAGATGACTGCTTTGTAGGCGATTTTAAAATGCCTTGTTGTAAGTTCTTAGAACTATAAAAAAACAAACTACTATTCATGCCACACTTGTTTCTAAAGTGATGTTTACAATCTTAGCTAACCGTAAACCCATAAATCATGGCACTCAGGCCGCCCGTCTGCGCTTATCGCCGAGGCGAAACTTGACGCCTGTTTTTTTGTGTTGCGTCTTTGTTTACACAATGAGCACGTGGTTGTCAGAGCTATAGTGTAAAATTAAATTATCAGAGTATGGTATTTTATGATTTTATTTGGTAAGTTATAATAGAATGTGCAAATAACCAAAAAACCTGGACTTAAAAATTTACAAATTTTGAAAATATACCCTATTTTACCCATATAAACGACTTTTTTTAACTTTCACGAGTTTACCGTAACGTAATTAAAATAGATTATAGACATGACGCATTGTATAGACACTGTTTTATAGTAAATTTTATGAAGAATCCAAATATATATAGTTTGTGTGGGGTATTCTTACGAAATAAAAGAGAAATCGGCAAAACAATGCAATCGTTCCCACCCAGCGGGGGGTTGACGGATGACGTAATCACTTTGACGTAAGACGGCGCCATGACAACTATCACCTGAGGGGCTAACAGAAATCTGAATAATTCTCACCTTAATGATACACTATGCATAATACTTCATCTTACAAGTTCCTAGATATCATCATCAGGAAGACAGTAGTCACATTGGGGACATTATTTGTTCAGCCAATACAGTAGAATGCCTATTAACCGAATCGCCAATTATCTGAATCAGTTCTGAGCATAATATTTTTTTTTTTGATTTGTTTTTTTATAACAAGTTGGAACTCGCTGGAGTATATATTTCAACTGTTATGGTTGAAGGCTAAGGGCCGAGTTCACCAACATTTTAAACAAGCGTTTATCTCGTAAACACCCGTTTAAGCATTTTTTTGTGTTCACCATGTGTTAACCGGCGGTTATATCCCTTAAACGGCTGATCAACATAACCGAGCTCGAAACCATCGTTTAACTGTCGGTCAGACATTATTGACGTTTGCTATGTATCGGTTGCTACAACAATTTTATGTTATATCGACTTTTAAAAAATTTGTGTTGTGCTAAGTTGTCAGTTGTAAGTAAAATGCAGTCAGTGTTTTATGTTATGATTGATAACTATCAAGACTACTACCTAAATCTTCTTGAGAGTCCATAAAGAAAAATTAGAAAGGGGAAGAATAAGACAGCAGCGAAATTTGGATAGTAACTAACAGTGTGGATAGTACCAGAAAAGCATTAATTTCAAATTATATTAAATATTAAAAAAACAAGTTTTTTAAATTCTACTGGTATATTTTCTTTATACATATAAAGATGCCATAAACATTATAAATTAAAGTCAATAGAACTAATCATACAGAACGTGAGTCCTTAAATATAACAAAGAATAAAACAAACAAAATTACTAAAAGAATTCAAGGATTTTATAACATTAGAAAAGTATATCTAACTAGAAAACTTAAATAATTTAAACACGTATATAACAAATTCATAATTTATTATTACCTACCCTAACATATTTTATTCAACGAAAGTAAAACAAGAGCATAATGATTCCCGAAAGTAAAACAATTTTGGGGCTCATAGATCAATGATCTCAAAAAAAATAAAAAAAAGGTAATGAATAAATAGGGCAACTTACCTAACCTTTAGGTTACCAGTTGTATTTTTTGGTGATCAATTACAATTTTTTTGGAGATCATTCATACATTTTCCATAATTTATTAATTATTTAATAAAACTACTTTTATCGGGTTTAAATTACCTTTGAAATACAAATAAAAATTATTGTTCTTCTAAAATACTTATTCTAATACGAGATTCTTTCTCTGCATTTTCTTGCAATATTTTTAACAATTTTTATTTTCTCTCTTGTGAGAGTATCACCCAATATCTTGTTTAGGTCTTCTTCATTTCAGCCAGTCCTCTTCGTTAAGCTTGGAAGGTCTTAATTCTTCTGAAACAGACGTTTTTAAATTATTTGGAGTCCATGTACTCGAGGTTTCACCTTCCTGTAAAAAGCAATAATTACTATAAAAACTGAAAAGTACGCACTACATTATCACATTAGTTAAATACTATTTGAACTCACATTATTTTCATTTAATATGCTCAATGATTCCTCAACTTCAACATCCTCTTTATTATTCGGTTGTCTGACCTCGGCCATGGACAAAAATGTTATTTCAATATTTTCCTGGAATACATTATACAATATACTGAATATTAATTAAACGTCAGTAAACATTTTTTGTCTTTACTAAAAATACGCCACCTGAAATATAAAAAGCACACATTGCAGAGTCAAAGAACAGGCACGAAATTTATTACGTGAACAAAAAGTAGGATGTAATAAAATAACTTATATCAAATCGATTTCTGTTCCTCAAATAATAAATCACCACGTGAGTTTTAAAAGTACATACCAGTCAAATAAACTTCTTTTTTTCTGGCGGCCCGATCTTTCTCGGTCTGTTTTTTAATATTTTCCCAACAACACTTTAATACCGTATGTGTTCGATGGCAATATGTGGTGATGGTGTTAAATTCTTCAGAAAGAGGAATCCATCCCTTCATTTTTAATGAGTTCGTGGTAGCATGCAGTGCGCTTATTTTCAACCATGTCCCGGTATTTTAAAACCAACTCCGAAAGAATACGTTTCTCGTCACTAGAAAAAAATATTGTTTGCTTTATGGCATCCTAATTCCATTTTAAATTAAAAATATCTTTTAGCTTACGAACCGGCTTACTTCACAATCACAAAACACAACACAAATGAATATATTTTACTTTGACATTGACAGCAAACGATTTTATCCGACCGAAATTAAAACTACTAGTATTTTAACTTTGTTAACACATTGTCATACTTTTCAAGTTAGTAGCATTCTACTTTAAACTACTAAATTAAGATGTTACTGTGTAGCATGTCGACTCAATGAGATACTACGACTTTGCAAATGAGCCACATTATACCATTCGTTCATTCACTCTAAACGGCTGGCGATCGGTTGATTTGTGAATCGTGGTTAAAATTTTCGTTGTGAACAGTAATTTTTTAACCGGCTCTTTAAACATTGTTTACGAATTAACCGGGTGATTAATTGAACGGAGGTTAAACAACAGTTGATGAACTTGGGCCTAAGAGGCAAGACACTACATGTTTTGTGTCTCTGGTTTTTTTGCTACTATGTACCTCTATTATTGTAGAACTGTGTTTGTTAAACTTAATAAAGTTTATTCTATGTGTGACAGTTTGGTTTTCTTTATTAGCAGTCTTTGTCTGATTTTCTGAATTTTTCATTATCCGAATCAACCCCAGTCCCAATTAATTCGGATAATCGGCGTTCTACTGTTTATGTAAAGATGGAGATAGGTTAACAGATTGTGTTTAATCTGTATCTCAAACACTCACATCTGACCTAATATATGGAAAGGGTTTGAACCCAAGAACGCAGAGATGGAAGTGATGAATGACACATAGCAAAATAAGAGTTAAGCATGACTAAATTTAAATCGACCATTAAAAAATCACTAGTTAAGAAAGCATATTATAAAGTGTCTGATAATATAAACATTGCAGAGATATATTTATTGCATAAGATTAATAATTCGGCATATAACTTAAGAAGATATAACAATAAAATACAACTAACATTAACAATTTCACATATAAAACTATAAAATACACTAACTATAAACAAATAAGTCTCTATCTAATTACATAATTACTATATATAAGTAAAATATAAATACTAGAATAAGAGTAAAAAAATAAAATAAGAGTGTATTTTAAGTAGCTATGGTTTTCATATATTCAACTTCCACAAAAGGGCTGGTATTATTATATACGACTGATCAGGGAAAAGTGAAGTAGATAGAACAGATTGCAGTTATAAAAACTGAAAATAAATTGATTTTAATATTATAGCAATTCAATAATTAGTTTCCCATACAAATTATTTAAAAGGTGATATAATACAATTCATATTAATTTGCAAATTTGAATGTTCCACTGAAACTTGAGGATGTTTCCTCAAAAATTATGTTTGCAAACTTTAATGATTTATTGATTATTTATAGGATTCAAAATAAATCATGCATTAATGATACTTTCCTTTATTTTAAAATTAGTTGTAGTTATTAAATATTGACTTTTGTCAATGTGAGTGTTTTCCTTTGTAGGGTGATTTAAATATATGAGAGTGTGCTTATTACAGTGATACTTTGTTGGGAGTGAAGGGATACATTCCGTGTGACAGTAGGCTACAGTGATGAAAAGTCATAACAACAAAAGGAATAATCTGTCTGGGCTCTCTCCTAATACATCCTTTTGATTGCTAGTAATTTGAAGTCTACAGTACTGAGTATTATAAGAATAAAATGACAGGAAAATAATTGTCAGCACTGAATAAATTTTCTCTTTGATTCAAGGTTGTGAAGAATGGGCAGCGAAACCGTTAACTTCCGACCACAAACCTGAGTCGACAGCTGAGATTGAACGTATTCAACGATGTGGTGGCAAAGTTGTATCAAAGGCTGGAGTGCCTCGAGTTGTGTGGAACAGACCACGATTGGGACATAAAGGTCCCATAAAGAAGAACACCCCAATGGATGAAATCCCATTTTTAGCAGTAGCAAGATCACTGGGAGACTTGTGGAGTTATAACCCTCATAATGATGAATTCATTGTCAGTCCAGACCCTGACGTTGGTGTATTGACAATAGACCCCTCGAAATTCCGGTAAGTAGCTTACACGCTAAACTAGTGTCATGTGCACACTATGCTTGTGATTTATATTTTGAAGTGCATGTTGGTTCTATTTCTATCAGAAAAACTTCATCAAAAGTCACTCACAAATATATAAACAAATCTTTAATGCACATTGAAAGTTGTTGAAAAGAAATGTCAGTAGCAAAATATTATTGAGTTCTGTGAATGTAATTTAACTTGCAGATTACCAACGTTATTGAAATGGTAAGCAAATAGTTAAGTATGGTAAAAAATGTTATCGTATCGTTTTGTTTCAGGTGTTTAATATTTGGCACTGATGGTTTGTGGAACATGATATCACCTGAGGGTGCAGTGAGTTTGGTGCAAGCGACTGAAAGGCATAATGAAGCAGCGTTAGTTGGAGGCAGTGCAAACCAGCCTAGGGATTGGCTTAACCCGTCCAAGAGTTTAGTGGATCATGCACTTGAGAGGTAAATAAAACTTCCTTTATATCATTTTAGATATTAAATAATATTCTTTGTACTGAGTGATCAGTATTGGTATTCGCATATGGCTCCTTTCTTTTTATTCATACAAATAATTCAATTCTATATTTAATATTTATTTTCCTGTTTCGTCAGTGTTGGCTTTTGTTTTTTCAACAACATTATGAAAAAAAATGGTTGCCTGTAAAGTCGGTTTTACGGGCGAAGATTTTACGTGACAACGTCTTTTTCTCGGTAGAATATTTATTGATATGAATATAATTAAATTGCACAATAGGAACAAGGAATTGAATGAAAATAAGAATTGCACAAATTTTAACTATAGAAATATATTTTGTTTACTAAAACATTGTACATGTAAACTTAAACTTAACACGAGAGACTCATCGTAACGTTACCGAGCGTTACACTTTTTCATAAGTGACTCCCAGCCGCAACCTAATTTAAGACGTCACGTCAAAAAAACCTGTACAACATAATCAATGATGACTTTTTCTTTCAGATGGTCAAATACAAGGATGAGGGCAGACAACACATCAGTGGTGACGTTAATGTTGGACCCTCCTGGTCCACCACGGGCCACGGTACTCCGTTCCAGGACTACCCAGAAGCCCACTACTTCGGTCACCACCAATCATGCACCTCCCGTTCCAGTCCCAACAAAGCCCGAGGAGGCCAAACCGGAGCCTCAACAGGAAAGTGATAATCGGCAAGTGCCTCAAAACGGTCTCACTATCATGACCCGCTACTCTGACGTGGATAGGCCAGCGCCTTCCCCCGACACCCCTCTACCACCTTGCGCAACCATCGATTCTAGACTATCAGTGACTCCGTTAGACACGTCCAAAGACTCGGAGAGCGAAGAGAGCGACGCGATAACCAACTACGGGAACCCGGCCGAGTCGTACTTCATGACTCGGTTATTGAGCAGGAGTAGGGTGGTGAACACTCTCTCCGAAGTTTACGATGAGATAGTGGAGAAGAGGAGAGAGGCGTCTCCTCCCGCCACCGTGGTTCCCGAGGTCGCGGAAGCCCCCGTCTCCCCGCCCCACCCGGGTCCCGCCGGGGACGCCGAAGACGGCGGGATACAGATCAACGAAGTGTCTTCGAGCTCGCCCGTGGAGTTGCCTCCGAAAGTGCGAGGTCGCCGACCCAAGGACAGCAAACGCGAGGTGCCCAACGATCGCGTGCTGCGGTCGCACCACGAGGAGCCTCAGAGGCCTCAGACTCGGCAAACGGGCCGGCCCCGCCCCTCGCCCGCGTTGGACCGAGTCGTGATACTGAGCAGACGCGCCCCTCCGCCTCCCCCCTCGCCGCCGCCCGAGGAGGAAGAGAGGAGGACGACCAGGTCGCAAGCCACGCCGTTGAGCAAACTGACGCGCAGCCTGAGCGGAGTGGCGCGGGAGTTGCGCGCGGTGACCACAGGGGCGGGCGCGGGAAACTGTGCGCGCGCCCCGGGCCCCTCGCGGCGGGCCCCGGCGGCGCGACGACCCGCGGGCCCGGGGGCGGGGGGGGCCCGCAAGGAGAACCGCGGCGCCGCGCGCGGAGGGCCCCAAACCCTGCCCGCGCAAACCAATGAGCGCGTGCATTCCACTACGGAGGACGCGTGCGCGCGAATACCGCTCGAACCGAGGACGTTGCGCTCCAGAAACGAAGCGGACTCCACCCCCGTGTCTAACAATAGCAACAATAAAAGGAAGTGCGAACTCTCCCCTGCACCTCCCGCTAGTAAATCAGCGCGCGTCTCCGAACGCTGCTCGCGAGCTTTGGGGAAACGCTCGTCCGGACCCTGGGCGCCGGCGCTGGCGCTCAGGAACCGCTTGCGTCGAAGACTCGCGAAATAGACCGGTGCCTTTCTAGTACTGCCAAAGTACCCTCGTTTTGGGGAGATCTCTGCCTGCCCTCCCCTCCCCCCCCGATCCGCGGTCGACCGTCGACGATAGTACAAAGAGATTCTATTGAATATTAGCGTAAGTCTAACGCGTGGACCACTCGGAACGGATTAGCCCTATATTATAACATAATAGATATTTTTATTCTTTCCATGTTTTGGAGCGATTGTCGTTTTGCATTCGACCGACTCGCCCGGCCCAGTGAGGATAGTGTTGTTCGCGTCGCGTGCGTTGCGGACGTGAGGTGTCGTGACGGACGATAATCGTGAATTCTATTACCGAGAGTGCTTTTCTCAAAATGTTAATTAAGAGTGCTGATGTATGTTTAATACTATATTAGATGTAAAATGTACAGACGAGAAGTTATTTTGTAAAGACACCAAAATTTTTTTTTTGTCATTTTAAATTATTGCGTATTAGAATGTGTTTTTTTCAAAACTAGTACGACTGTTACGGATATCAGATAATAATGTATGTTATTCTTTTGGGAAAAGAATTCGATTTACTTCCTCGATGAGCTTTATTGATTTTAGTGGTTCTAACGTTTGTTACTATGAAGAGATGGCGAGAGTTTAATAATAGCATGCTATTTTCTGTGCGTAAAGGTATCTGATGACATCAAAACATATCGAATAGAAAAATTGTGTGTAATGAGGTATGTTTGTGCAAATGTCACTTTGATTTCGTTTTCAAAATCTAAATAGAGAATACTTTATATTGGCCGCATTCTATCAGATTTCTTCTTGCATCTTCCAATTTTATGTTGAAGTATTGTTAATGTGATTGCGAAACCATTGATATATAATTATTGTGAAACCAAATGTGGTTCCCCTGTGTGAATACGACTTGTTGAATACTGTAGAAATGTATACTTTATTACAGAGACGTACCTAAGGGTGGACTGAGGTATATAAATATTAGTTGTAACTAATATTTTGACAGTCCATAACGCGTAAGTTGTTCGTGACATCACCAATTCGGTTTCATTGTTTGCCTATCTAATTAGAAACACTAGAAAAAAACACTAAACACTTAAGAGAGGAGGCGGGCAATGTTTTCCCATACAAACGTTCTCGACTGATTCCTCTTTGATTTGTTATTACTAAAGAATTGATTTTCATACATAAAATATAATTTCACTCATTCTATGCTCCTATGTCTTCCTTTTTTCGATAACTTGTGTTTCAAAGAAACTAGAAGCCTTCGAAAAAGGCAAAATATAAACAATTTTTTATCACCACTATATATGTCTAGTGTGGACATTTAATAAGCATTTACAAAAAAGAGCAAAACATAGAGGCATAGTATAACTACTCTTTATTCTTTGGGTAAAATGTCTTTTACATATTATATCTAATTTTCGAGGAGGAAATCTGCGGGAGCCAAACTTCGCATTTTGCAGTTTTTATACGCAATTTTCAGCGTTTTCTACTGTTGTCCCTATCGCACGGTATTTGCCAATGCGTAACAGCATTGCTCGCGTCCGCTCTTAAGGATAAATACACAAAGGTGATTTGGAGTTCCCTTACTCACACTATCGGACATCCCAAATTAAGAAATACGCAAAACGGTAACCTTACCTGATACAAATGTTTAAAGAATTTGAGTGGCTTTACAGTGAAGCGTAGTCCCTCCCATGGGGGGAGGGACACCGCGTGAGGGGCGTGTGTACCCAGCGTGAGGGGCGTATGTACACCGCGTGAGGGGTGTATGTACCCTGAGTGAGGGGTGTATGTACCCTGCGTGAGGAGCGTATGTACACCGCGTGAGGGGCGTATGTACCCTGCGTGAGGGGCGTATGTACACCGCGTGAGGGGCGTATGTACACTGCGTGATGGGCGTATGTACCCAGCATGAGGGGCGTATGTACCCAGCATGAGGGGCGTATGTACTCTGCGTGAGGGGCGTATGTACCCTGCGTGAGGGATATATATACCCTGCGTGAGGGGCGTATGTATCCAGCGTGAGGGGCGTAAATAATTTGCATGATATGGAAAAAGTTTGCCCATTCCTGCACTGGAGCCACTCGTTATATCTCAGCCAAACTAAGCACAGCCGGTACTAGATAATCTATTAGTAAACATATTTAAATACAGCTAAAAATATATATTATTTGATTACATATTTTTCAAATTCGATTTAAATTCAATAGTTGCAAAGTGTCCAGGGGAAAACGTCTTGTGATACAAAATGGGACACTACAGAGGGATGACGTAATGTCAAATACTGGATTTATTACGCGTTTGATTTTTATTGACTAAAATTTACGTCATTTAACTTTCAACAAAGCATGTTTCTCAGTTATGCATTACAAATTCCTATTTTGTTAACAGTGATCGTTTCGTGGAATTGAAAGTGCTTGTTTAACGAAATGTATAACTTAATTATTAATTATACATGCCCCAATCACATTGTTGGGTTGAATACCAAAGCGTATTTTTGTGCAAAGTATAAACTTTTTAATATAATATTGACTTCGAATTGCAATAAACTTTGTATGACATGTTATTTTAGTTAAGAACATAGTATATGTTGATATGGTTAATTTTTAAATATTATATAAGTTTTTTTTTGTTGAGTAGATAGTATATCTACTTAATAAATTAGAGATAAATAAAAAAATTACCATTTTTGTACCAATGAATTGTTGGTTTATTGCGGGTTTAAATGGTGTATATCGTTTAAGTTCTAGGAATGGATATTTCCATGAAAACAGAAAGCTGTCTTCTCAGCCGATTTTGTGTTTTAATACGCAGGAGGCAGTACTAAACAATTTCACAGCATAACTCTGATACTGACAATACCATAATTTTGTCGTCAAAATAATATGTATCATTGGTGTTTACAAATTTAAACTATAATAATAATAATATTTATTTGTTCTCTTCTCACACACTGAATTTTACAAAAAAAATATAGGTAATTTATACAAATACAATCGGTTAAGCATCAGCCATCTTTAAATATTTCAAAAGCTACGTATTTGAAGTGTCAGAAGCTGGTGCCTGAAGTAGGCATTAAAGGCCTGTAGTACTGGTCGCCAGGTTCCCACTCCACAGAAATTATCCTACATATACATACGGAGTGCAAGCTGCATAATATTGTCGTCATAAATTTGTGCCTATATTAAAGTCATGGTTAATTCCAATCTAAGCAGAGCTTGAACTATAGAGACTAACAAGCTTACAATACCCCTAGCACGAACCATTATCGAATTCGAATAGTTTGCAAACCGAAATGTCAATGTCAAATTTTGTATGGAAACTTGAACAGCAGCGGCACAAAGTACGTAATCAGAACTAAAAATCAGTACACATTTGACAATGACATTGCGGACTCGCAAACGATACGAATTCGATATTGGTTCGTGCTAGGGTACTGTACATAACTTGATGGGGATGTTTTTATAAAGAAGACAAATGAATATAAAATTATGATGTTGACATTTTATAATCTTATAAATTCGGAGGTTATATAAGGATAAGATTCTTTATATGCATGTTATCAGTATAAAAATGTTTGTCTGTCCCACTTGTCGTATTGAGTTATTCTATAATAGTACAATTGGTACTAATTCATCCCAGTCTTATGACACGCAGAAAGTCTGTGGTCTTAGTTCTTCTAAGAAATCGCGTTGTGCAAAATTGTTTTACCATTTTAGGTAACAATAACTGTAAACTATACTTTAAAATAAAATAAGACATGCATAAGATATATTTTTCGGATTTCAATTCTAAATGGAACAAATACCAGATGGATAGTGCATGAATATTAAAGCCTTTTTTCTAATAGTTTTTAATTAAGTAAGTGACACCAAATATCATTCCGGCACTTCACTTGGCTATTCGTATTTGCTTTATAAGAAAAAAAAATAAAAAATTAACAAAATTCAATATCGTTTATTCAGTCTAGGCTGTTACAAGCACTTGTGAATGTCGAAAAGCTACGCCATCGGTTCGCAAATCTACGGCGGGAGACATTGTACTGAGAAGAACCGACAAGAAACTCAGCTAAAGCTGTTTTTTCTCCCTCTATCATATACAGAGTCGTCAAATTGAAAAATTACAAAATTTTAGATAACTCATGAAGTCACTTTCCAAAATCAAAAGAACATACTAATGTCAAGTTTAGCCAAGTGAAGTGCCGGCATCAGAATAACACTAACAATTGAACTTTGAGACGACCGCGATAGTTAATTTTATGTTTGAAGTTGACATCAATAAAACTTCATCAATACAACACGCTACCTAAAGGAGCATTTATTTTAATAGGCGTCTTTAAGTGCGGAAGTTAGTAAGGACTAATATGCTATAGTGTAAAGTCATGGTACTTATACCATCGTGAATAAAATTTTGAAGATTCAATTTTACATCGTTAACATTCTTTAACTCTATGAAATGGTACCAAAATATTGATACAAAAATCTTTATACATATTATGAATGAATTATTTGTAGAGTACGGAAATTAGGTATGAAATGCATAATTTCCAAGAGGGCGATTCTTGTCTGCGCGTTGTCACGAACAACTTGCACCAAAATATTAAAGAATTGTAATAATGATGTGCCTCATTTGTTACCGATTTAAACAGCAATTAAATAGGTGAAGTGTTCTTTGATATATGAGATATGTATTTTTATTAAATATAACATTTATGCATTGTAACTTAGATATTAAAAGAGTTAATATAATTTGTTAAGCTAATTGTGGTTCTAGTAAATTAATATGGTCCTGTCATTTACATCTGATATATAAATAACGGATGTTATTTTTTAAGTTTAAACAATACCTTTTTGTTTTTGAAAATATTGATGTAAGTGACGGAATATTTTTTATATAAAAAAACAAACCCAGCTAGTTAATAATGATGAGATGAGGGTAAGAAATGCCTTGCGAGAGTTGTAAGGGTTGAAAGGTGGTGTGAAGAGTTTGCTAACGAAAAATTGAGAAGCTAAAACAAATTTATAACTATACATATTAATTTTAAAGAAAGTAAAGGATTATTGTAGAATTTATTTTTTGATTTAAATAAAGTTTGTATGAAATAGAATTGGTGTTTATTTTTGTTATTACACCCAGTAGTATACAGCCACACATCAAGATCCACCGCAAACTATCAAATTTTCTTAAGAGTCTTTTTACAAAATTGCGCCGCTGCCGTACTGATAGGCGCGTAGGTAGATTTGCACTAGTATATATTGCATTTTACGGGTGACGTTCCGAGTTTTATAAAATAAATATTAATGATTTAATTATAAAAATATATACATATTTCAGTAGTTCAATGATAGTACTTACATTAGTTTTATGAAAATTTTTGATAGTAATTCTATTTAATTCAATGTCAAAATACGAGGTAAACCTGCATTATTTTTTGGGAAAACTCACGGAGGTTAGATGTTTTTTTTGTAATTAATGATATGGAAAATCAAAATTCTAATACATTATTTTACAACAAAAACATATTTCTGATGTCGTAGTAATTAATTTGGTCTAATTTATTGAACATTATTGAGAGATTGAGGCGTTTGAAGTTGTGCATATTATCGTTTTTTCCGTAAACTAGCTGCAGTAGAACGATCAGTACAACAAAAGGAAAATAGTATTTGCAAATATTCTATATTAACTTATAATAGGAAGAAAAAATCTACTGTTTACTTTATTGGAAATAGTCAAAATCTTTTCTAAGAGGGTAAACGCGGCGCTCAAAAATTACGATTTTTTGCAAAAAATGTGAAAGGGCTCTTAAATCTTAAGCAAAACAAGATAAAGTTTGAAGTCATTTGAAGAACGAGTTTTGTGTAACCTGTGGCCAGTTCATCAGATAAACTTCGTCTGTCGCATCAGATTTTTTCTCAGTTCAATATGCAGATATAAGGCTGCATACCCAAATTTCGTCATTAATTTATTATATTGTTCATGAGAAAATAGTATTTTAGTATTTGGACCTTTTGCTACCTGGCACCTTCTAGCCTAAACGACAGTTGATCGGGATAAAACAGGCGTTATTTTTAATCATTTTCTATTGTTATTTTAATGATAACTGCCACCATCCAAGTTAAAAATCCAAGCTTAATAAAACGATATTGTGTTGTTGAGAAATAGATATTACCTAAGTATTGTGCACATCTAAAACAACTGATTATTAAAGCTAAATTCTAATTATTAATTTAAAAAGAAGACAAAACAACTGTTATTGTAATAAAAGCTTTGAATATGAAATGGAACCCATAGCGGAACCCTGTGGAACGCCAATTTCATCTCAACTCAAACAGTAGATTCAAAAGCGTTATAAGGTCACTTAAAAGTCCTAGTTATCATAGCACGTGCATAGCACCCTTGGCGTCCCTAGTGAGCTCACGTAAAGAGCACAATTCAAAACAGGTAAACATTTTTTCCCCGCATTAGAACATGCGGAAGCAACCGCCAATTCATCTGCATCGTCCCCTATCATGAATGGGGGCAACCCGCTCCTTGGCCGACGCTACCCGTGCCCGAACGCTTGTTCCCGTCACCCTACTATTTGAAAACGGCTAGGTTATAGCGGCGGTGTGCGATAGTTTGTGCGCGCGCCAGCGACCGTCCAGCCGCCCGGCTGATCGTAGTTTGCTAAGCGACGTACGTACTTAACGTCGTTTCTGTTCTACAGTACGATGTGACTTTTAATTAGTTTAAATTTCAACCCGTTTGTGTGTTACCAGAAACATTTCACGTTTGTGTTTATATCCGATTAGTGTTTTTATGCGACACCCACTCGTTATTGTCGTGAAAAAACGCGGGAAACGTGTGTGAGTGCGTCCCGGTTTATCGATTTTGTTCTGTATTGCATTGGTGCAGTGTTGTTACTATTGAGTCTATTGCATTTGTCGTATTCGCTATGCCTATTTTCTTTATCTAGCAAAGTGCAAATATCATATAAATAACATTAAATATGTAGAGTGGATGGCAATGTAAGGTTAATTATTAGATATTGATTTATTATCTATACATCTACTAGCTGACTCGGCGAACTTCGTACCGCCCAAAAGTAATAATTTGCAATAAATTAAAATTGCGACTATAATTTGAGATTTAAACTATCCTATCTCTCAAGTTGGATCGAACTGCACATGGTGTGCGAATTTTATTATAATCGGTTAAGTGGTTTAGGAGTCCATTGAGGACAAACATTGTGACACGAGATTTATATATATTAAGAAAGATATATATCTATAGATAACAATGACACTGAAAAGAACCCAATGAAGTGCATGTAGGGTTTGAATTTACAACTCCTTATGTAATGTTGTTACTATATTCTTAATCGAATTATTTCGTCACCATATTAGTGATTCTCCATAACAATTTAGTTTGCGATACACAATAAACATAAGTATATGTTATTTCGCATTCTTTCTTATTATAATGTAACTCGTTCAACCAGTTTTTTTATATGTCCAATAATAATTTGGCAAATCGGCGAACGCTCTGGCGCCAATGTTATTTTTTATAGCATATTATTAGCGATACAACCATCTATTAGCAATACTATAACTATCTACGGAGTAGTATCTTTGTATCGTTTTTTTTTGTTTAAAGTGTGGCAAACGAGATTATAACCCGCCCCATCAATATGAATGACCACACCATATTAATTTAATCAATCTATTAACGCTTGTGATACCAAAAATGTCACTCGCACCGTGTTAACACTAACTAAATCCCTTATCCCGTGGAACCCTGGAACCTTGCCGACAGAAACACAATACCACTGCCGGATTTAGGGCAGGGCAACCGGGGCGAAAGCCCCGGGGCCTCCACACACGGGGGGCCCCCACAATAGAGACTTCGGAAAAAAAATCTTTCAAATTCCAACTAGTAAACATCTTTTCGGTTCCGTTCGTTAACTCTAAGATTTAATTTCAAATAATTCTTGTTTCCGTTTATATTTATATGTGTTTGTTCAATACTAAGGGAATCTACTTGGTTCACAATAAATTATTTATTGAAAAACTGGACTGAAAAAAAATTGTTTACTTTATTTAGAAAATAATTTGGGGTGAGGGGGCCTCCGCTCCTCTGTTGCCCTGAGGCCTCTGGACCTCTAAATCCGGCCCTGCACAATACCACCAAAAGTAGTAGTAATGTTATTTTACTGTGATCTTCTGTAACGTTATTTCCCAAGGCGGCCGCTCCAAATCGAGCGGCAAATCTGTTATGCCCTACCTCTTTATTCTTATAGGTATAAAAAAACATACTTTATTATTATAATTTTCCTTTGTTCCCAACGAGTGACACTGTAACCTGTAACACTGTGACTCGTTGGGAGAACTTTGTAAAATAATTCCCAACTAGTCACACTGTAACACATTTTCCGGAGATCACATTTTTCGTTTCTCTATTAATATTTCTTTATTATCGGGAGCAATCTCAAAAGATTGCGCTAGAAAATATTTGTAATTTGCACTGACCTAACTATACATCGAAATTACTTTTTATAGGTACCTACTATATTAAAATTGTTTACCCAATGCTAATTTAAAATGTAGTCTATGCATATTTAATGCAGCGTTGTATAATAATAGCTTACCATCCATCGACTCATATCAGAAATATTGCTAATTGCTGCGAGACGATTTAAGTACGTCTTTCTCTTTTAAAACACTTAATTATATAATTAATTTTACATTTAACGGCGGTTTATACTTTCACTTTGCTCATAATTTTATTATTTTGATTATGGTTTTAAATTTGTACGCGAAAATATATCCGAGTTTCTAACAACTTTACGAGTTGAGGTAGTAAGTTATTATTTCAAGATTATAACTTTCGTTGTCTGGAATTGGTAAAAGACCTTTAAAAAAATAACAAATCTGTTGTGTTTTTTAAATTTGAATGATTTCTAGCCATATCATGTTCCTTGATTGAAATCATACTTTTATAAAAAAAATACTATTCACTAAGTAGGTGGATTTTTAACGCAATCAAATAGCAAATACTTACTATCTGTGTTATTCTAAAGTATTCACTATTTAATTACCTATTATAATTTTTTATATTGCTATAATGTTATGACCGAGATTCTTATACAAATGTTAATAATAATGAAATATGTATTAAATTCAATCTTATACTTGTTTATGAATACATTTTTATCATCATATAATTGAATCAACTTAATTTTGCAATACCCCTACAGGGTCATGTACTATAACTAAGCATATATGTGACATCTTTTAACTTTTGTACATGATAGCAAATAAATAAATAAACCTTGTTGGGTTGACAGGACATGAAATGTACGGCGCACATTCTCCCATAGCCACTGAATATGTTGTAGCCACTTCTCAACCGTCGCCAGATTTGGCATTAAGCCTAAACTTATAGTATCTTGTCGAGACTACGCCTCAATCAATAGGCGACGACTTTGAGGCGCCCTCATTTCCTAGAAAAGCCCAGAAAAGTGATAATAGAGAAAGAAAGCATCAAAATATTGCTAATTGTGGATAAAATTTTCAAATTAACAACTGTATTAAGATCTTTATGAGCGGATTTAGTTCGCAATCACAACCCTTACGGAAAACGGGAAGACCATAATGACATAACACTACCATAAGGCGTAACAGTTATACAATCGCAAGCAACTTCATATTACTCTTAAATGTAGTCCAATTACATATTCTTTCGCAACTCTTTTACTGGGTAACAGGAAACTTAATTATGTACTACTTAGGCTGTGGACTTTCGTTAAGGAAACCACAACGGTACATCTCAAGTCTTTGGGCGAAATGCCGCAGCACATGGCGTGACGCTATGAGTCCAAAGATGTTTTTATACGAGATCAAATCCTTAGAACTAGCAACAGACAACTTTTATAAAAACACTAGCGACCCGCCCTCGCTTCGCTTCGGTGTAGAGCTGAAGTGTAGACTACAGTTTTTGTTCTCAGGCTTGTATTATACACTCATCTATGATTCTTCTTATACCTGCATGCAAAGTCTCAGCCCGATCGGTTTAAAATTGACAAAGTTTCATACAAACTTTCATTCCCTGTTTTATCCCTTTGGGGGTAGAATTAATCAAAATCGTTTCTTAGCGGATGCCTACGTCATAACATCTACCTGCATGCCAAATTTCAGACAGATCCGTCCAGTGGTTTGGGCTGTGCGCTGATAGATCACTATGTCAGTCAGTCACCTTTGAGTTTTATATATATAGATATCAAAATCACAGAGAACTCAATGAACATCTATTGGATTGTGATGAATATCCGTGGGACACCCATGACATGAAGGGACGTTGCTGGCTTGCTTATTATATTGCTTGCGCGGTCACGGTCCAAATACAATGAGCCAACCGTGCGGCCGTCCTCCACGGGCCGTTAAATGCACACAAAGCCAGCCCGCCTGGTGGAATGTGGACATTCTGCAACACCATTGTGATGACAGCTACCGGATCTGAACACCTCATAGATAGAGAGACTCGGATATGACGTTTTATGTTTGTCTGTGTTGTAAACTTTATCTGTTTATTGTTTGGTCTTACACCAGCTGGTCCTTCATGATTCGATCGAAAATCAGAAACTGCTTATAGGGAAGTAGCATTTACATGGCCCATTCGACTGTTAATTTTTTTTATATTCAATGAAAGAAAGAAAATATATTCATTTTGACACAAACAACGAGACAGGAGATACAAGATTTTGAGCAGCATACGAGAAAAAAAAACATCCAAAACAAGACATAGCAAAAAAGTAACACACAGTTTTACCATACCTTAGCTTACCAGCTGTGAATTAATCTGTTGCTGTCTCGCGGCTGCGCCAGAACAGGTTGTCAATTCAGCATGTTGTCAAGTTTGTGGGACCTGAGACCTGACGCTGGTTTTATGATCCTATTTTGACAACTGACGCAATAAAAATATAAAGATTAAAAAGAATGCGCCCATTGGACCTCTTTTTTGAATTTGTCTGGTTCCCACTGGACCTTCAAGATTAGACCCTATTGCGCCTGTGACGGGCTGAATACGGGCTCCAGTCTACCTTTTTTTTTTGTCGATGGGAAATTCATTTACGCACCGAACGGCGCGCTAGCTGGGCCGCGGCGTGTGTGGGACTCCCCGGCGCGGAACTACGCCGGTCCTACCCAGTAAAACCCACCGGTACCCTCCTACGCCCATATGGGAGCGTTTTAGGATCGGCGCACCTGTGTAGGCTCCAGTCTACCTACCATAGGTATACCAAAGCGGATTGGACCCTCGATGTGGTTCATGATGGCCCGTTCTCCATGTGCGAACAGTACATTATGTATTTATTTTCACCTAATCATTTAGATGACCGTGCGCGTATATGAACCAGCGTCCAATGAATTTTGGTATTTTTCCGTCCTGATAATGGTATGGTAATGCAATCACTACCTACACCAAATCCGAATTGTCTCACTCAAATATTATCATATACCATTAATATGATTGGTCCATGATAATACTATCTTAAACTTATTTTATCATCATCATCAGCCTATTAATGTCCCCACTGCTGGGGCACAGGCCTTTCCTATGGATGGAATAGGGACTTTTGGGAAATCTATTCTAAAAGCCTGTTCTAAATTCTTTAAGTCAGTTAGACTTCGTTCATAACTTATAAGGCGAAGTGGGGTAATTTGATTCCAGCTTCCATTCAAACCTAATGTAACCTTACCACTTGTGATTGGTTGAGTTGTGTTTTTTAGTATTTTAAAAACAACAATATGAATGAATTATTGAGTATGTTTTTATTTTTAAGCCTTTGACTAGGTACTAGATGACTATATATAAAGACAATATTACTAGAAAAATTCACTAGGCTCAGTTTTCCGCCCGGATAACGGATGATGCGGGTTCGAATCCTGGGTGAGTGATATTTTTCTGGTAATATTATCTTAAAATATAAATAAACTTGAGATTTATTTAATGTTAAACGCCATTCTTAATAACAAACTAGAGTGTGTGCGGAAAGAGAATGGGACTTAGAGTGTAGGGCGCTGTAGTGCTTTTCTTCCGTATTTGTAAGGTTTTAGCCCTTTTAGATATGATTAAATACAAAAAAACCGAAAGAAATCACAACAACAAACAAATCCGTATCAATACAAAACTTTGACGTTTTACAGATTGCTGGGTTTGATTGCCAAATAAAAATCTTAATGTTAGTTCCGTTTTTCGCCACGCCCAATCTCTTTCCGCACAGACTCTATGTGATATATGTTTACTACGATTGTGACAAGATCTCGCGAAAGTAACAGCGGGGTTCTTTTCTTTATTGCTCGGAATAACCTCAACAGCTCGATTTCTTTTGTCAATGCTTATTACTAGGTAGGTTGTCCATACGATTTCGAAAGTAACGGAAATAGTAATATCATTATGTTCCGAAATAAACATTCTTTATAAAAGTATTGCATTATTAGCATAGCATTGGTGTCGATTCTGACATGATTCTCTAAACCTATACTTAAATATGACAACAGTGTATTCATTAATTCATTCTCTATACAGAATGAAAATACAGACTGATGTTTTTAGTTCAAGTTTAGAGAATCACGCCAGAATCGACACTATTATATATTATATTCGAGGAGCTCGATTGCTCAAGTGGTTAGCGCGTTCGACTGCGATCGTTGAAGTTAAGCAACTTTCGCAGTGGTCGGTCATTGGATGGGTGACCAAAAATGTACTATCTCGAGCTCCTCCGTGCTTTGGAAGGCACATTAAGCACCCACTAATCAGCATTGGGCCCGCGTGGTGGGTTATGGCCCAATTTCCCTATTTCATCCATAAGGAAGGCCTGTGCCTCAGCAGTGGGGACATTAATAGGGTGGTGATGATTATAGATTAAATCAATATACTTTAGACAGACCTGAAAGAATTAAAAAAACAAGGTTTTGCATGTGATGTTATAATCCCGAATTAAAGTGTAAACATTGTCTTAGAGAGTGGTGATACATCAGTGATATATAGGTTTGAAAACACAAAGTGGAAGTGAACTTAGATCGTAAAACCTAATCTAAAAAGTTGTGAAAAAGTGAACTCTATGCATCTGTGATTATTCATTGGAGACATGGTGTTACCAGCAGGAAGAACCATGGGTAAGTTAATATTTTTTTTAATAAAATAACGTTTAATGTCGAACCGTTCGCAATTGAAATTTACATCATTCCAGGTTAGTTTAAAACATATTTTTAAGAAGTATTTGCGCTGTCTATATTAACAGGAAAAAAGTGATTAAGCGTAAGTTGTTGTAAGGGTCAACTATCACATTTAGCAATGCTTGACAACGACCTCAAGCAAATAGGACTTATAACCGTATGTTTTTATTTTTATCCAAAATATCAATATTGTGGTCACCGTACTTTTAGAAAACACAGCGTTGCGTTCACTCTCCAATTACGAGAAACAGTCACAAGTTTTCAAGTAGGTAATTCTTTATTATTATCTAATGAAATTGTCTGTATCTGGACTGTACTGTACCCCTAGCACGAAACCAATATCGAATTCGTATCGTTTGCGAGTACGAAATGTCATTGTCAAATTTTGTATGGAAACTTGCACAGCAGCGTCACAAAGTACGTAACGAGAACTAAAAATCAGTACACATTTAAGAATGACATTTCGGACTCGCAAACGATACGAATTTAATATTGGTTCGTGTTAATCATCCTGTACCCTTAGTACGAGTTTTATAATTACGAAAACTATGATAGTTTTCGTGAGCTCGCATTCGTACTAAGGCTACTGATTTTATTGTTTTCGTTTCAATACAAATAAACAGTGTTTAAATTCTATCATTAAATCGTTTGCGTCTTCTTAAATTTTAAGAATATTTGGTTACTTTTCACCAAAATGGACATAGAAACGTAATTTACAATTACGAAAACTATGATAGTTTTCGTGAGCTCAAACTCGTTCTAAGGGTACTGATACGGTTTTGTGATATAAACATAAATATGAAAGAGATAAACTTTTGAATATATGTTACATTACCGAGGTCTTGTTTTGAACAACTGGGTATCTATTGTATACATAGGTAAAATTTTTTTTTCACACGTTTGATAAAAAAATGCATTTACGGAGGTTGTATACATTGTACACTGTTCAAAATTACGCACCATACAACAGAACGTTCGGTTCGTTAAAATTTTACCGCACGCTTGGGTTTATGACAACGCGCGTATCCTACCTTTTCGGTTTTCCTTAAATTTCGATCGAACCTTTATGGAAGCGCTTTTGATCTATACGTTTAGCTCACTTTAGTACTAAAAAAGGAAAAAAGAGCCGAATGATGGAATAATAATTTTCACCACTAGCACTTGGTGTCACGCGGAAATGCACGTAATTTTTAATCTTAGAAAAAGTATGCCTCATTACTTAAAAAATATACTGTTATAATTTTTAAGACATTAAGATTTTTTCATTTGACATTGTGGGTTACCTACAATGCGAAGAGATGGCGCTGCCTTGCAGCTTAAGAATAGCTAGAAGAATTTCGACGCGGCCGTCAGGGCCGCGGTAGCATAATTTGTTCAGTGCATTCGCTCGGATAGCAAAGGGTGCGGGTTCGAGTCCCGTCTGCTGCCTGGTCCGCGTGGAATTTTTGTAGTTATATTTTCTTATGGCGCATCCACACATGCCCGGCGGCACGGCCGGCGGCCAACCCGGCGGCCAGGCCGCCGGCCATGCCACCGACACATGCATCTTTTACCTGCGGCACGCGCGGCTTTTGGTTGCCGGCGGCAGTTTGTTCGCGGCTTCGATACGGAGTGGTAGTGTTGTATAACTTCTTGAATGAAAAGATAGTGTATGTAAAACACATGTAAGCCCGGACATAATATGTTATATGGTCCAAAATCGAAAGGCACAATGCAAGGTGCTGCCTTATCTCCTTTATTGTATAATATTTATACTAGTCAAATTTGCAACTTCATAGACAATGTAAATAATAACATAAATGTTTTACAATTTACTGATGACATCGTTTTGTACAGTAGTAACTACAATTTACAAGCTTTATCCCAATTGTTTTATTATTATAATGACATTTTACATTTAAAAATTTACCCATCCAAGAGCAACGTTATGATATTCAGCAAGGATACACCAATCCATAATATATTTTATAATGGTGAAATTATAAACAAAAAACGAAAGTCACAACACTACTGCGAAAGTCGCAACCGCATCTGCAGGCCGCCGGTAAAGCCGGCGGCAAATTCAGAGGCAAGGCGGTCTGAAAGCCTGCGGCAAACCCGGCGGCATAAGCCGGCGGCATGTGTGGATACGCCATTAAAATATACAGTTTTCTCGCAAATGTGTTGAAAAACGTTGTATAATATTCGGACGGAATTGGTATTTACTACCTCCCGACTATGATAAGCCCTCGACTTCGTCCCGGGCTTACATGCGTCTACTCGTTTGTAATAACCAACTTACCTCACTAACACCATAAATAGTTAGTCTAAAACTCTATCTGAAACAGATATTCAAATAGAAAAAACATTAGGTATTCTTATATCCGTAACCGAAATTTCATATTCGTAACATTGGATGACGTCGTTAAAATCTATCTAGCAGAGCAATATACAGACCCCTCTTTCCCAGTGGGCACTTTGGGCAAGTGCCCAGGGCTCCGCGATCGATAGGGGCCCCCCTCAGATCAAATACGAAGTCCCTAGTTCCTGTTAGATCACTAAACGATAACCAATATTTATTACCAAAAAACTTAAACAATTCGATGAATTCGAACCTAAATTACTGACTACAATACCAATTTACTAGCTTTTATATAAGTGAGGAGGTCGATGGCGCAAGTGGTTAGCGCGTTTGGCTGCGATCATTGAATTTAAGCAACTTTCGCAGTGGTCGGTCATTGGATGGGTGACCAAAAATCTCCTATCTCGAGTTCCTCCGTGCTTCGGAAGGCACGTTAAGCCGTTGGTCCCGGCTGCATCTGCAGTCGTTTGCACCCGCCAATCCGCATTGGGCCCGCGTGGTCGGTCATGGCCCAATCTCCCTATTCCATCCATAGGGAAGGCATGTGCCCCAGCAGTGAGGACATTAATAGGCTGTTGATGATATAAGCGAAGCTATTCTACTCTCGCCCAAAAATTAATCTTTTCTACTTCAGCATGCTTAGATAAATTATGGTATACTAAGCACATACACATTTTAAAGAAAAATCATCAGTAGTACACTCATCAGTATGACTCGCTCCATTTCAAGTCATAATCCATATCAAAGTCTTAGGGGCCCCATTATCCTAATATGCCCAGGGCCTCCAATAGGTTAAAGACGGCCCTGGCAATAAGAGAGATGTTTATGCGAAACAACCGCATCACAGGCGATGACGAGGTGTCTAAACACGTCGCTCACCAATGTATCGGCAGCTCCACAAAGCTCGCCTAATGCAAGTGCACTTGCATTGTTCTTCTGCTAAATTGCCCAACGTCTAGACTAGCACAAGCACTTGCCTTGTATCAGTTCGCCTACGTAAACACGCGCTGGGTTAAGCTCGGCCAACATGTATTAGAAAAGTACTCAATGACGTATAATATATAGACAGACTAGCTAACCCAGCGAACTTCGCACCGCCCTAAAACTAGGGGTAGGTGGTAGAAGAGAAAAATTAGGGTTGTACGTATTTTTTAATACCACATTATAAAAAAAAAATGGTTGCCTGTAAAGTCGGTTTTACGGGCGAAGATTTTACGTGACAACGTCTTTTTCTCGGTAGAATATTTATTGATATGAATATAATTAAATTGCACAATAGGAACAAGGAATTGAATGAAAATAAGAATTGCACAAATTTTAACTATAGAAATATATTTTGTTTACTAAAACATTGTACATGTAAACTTAAACTTAACACGAGAGACTCATCGTAACGTTACCGAGCGTTACACTTTTTCATAAGTGACTCCCAGCCGCAACCTAATTTAAGACGTTGTCACGTCAAAAGGGTGTGTAACGTAGTGTTCTATCAATTTCCTGGGAAAACATATCATAACATTCCTCCATATGAGAACACATATAGTGTTCTCATATGGAGTTCTCACAATACCAATAGTTTGAATTTTGACGCGAAGGCGCATTGTAGGTTTCAGAACACTACGTTACAGGTGGACAACCATTATCACTAAGTATATGAAAAATAGATAGTAGCCTATTTTCAGACCCACGGAATATGCATATAAAATTTCATAAAAATCGGTCAGGCCGTTTCGGAGGAGTATGGTAACTAACACTGTGACACGAGATTTTTATTTAAGATTATACGTCAACATTGTTGCATTTTAAAGGTACACTTCCGCAATGGGCTGCAGGCGACAACTGCAGGCGACACTGCGGCTAGCGCCTGCGGCTGACCGTGCATTATATGCATTGTGCAGCCGCGGCATGTCGCCGCGCTCGGAATCAATTTCATAGAGATTCGTAGAAACTAGTAGTGCCGCCTGCAGTCTGCAGCTGCGGCCTGTGGTCTGCGGTTCACTTGCACCTTAAAATGGCGTAGTCCCCACCCCAACTTTCTTACCACGCATCCTCCAATAGCACGCACTCAACTCTTTTACTCTCATGCATAAACAGATTACATCTCGCTCTTAGCCTCCGCATGTCAACGGTGTCAGCAATTGCCAAATAAGTAATCATTATAATTATTTTTACATCAATTTCTTTAAAATTGTATTTACGAATGAAATAACACGTCTAATAATTCCCGTGTAATTTGTGTACTATCTAAAATAAAAACACTGGGATTTTTGTCTGAAAAAAAAACGTAAAATATTTACACGCTGTAGCGAAGTATAACCGCGGCGAGAGAGCGTGTCCGACTGAATGCAAGTCGGGCAATTACCTGACTTTCGTATTGCCGAATTAGAAGTGTGTATGACGTATCTATAACATAGCCTGTACTCCAGAAGTGAGGACATCAATACGCTGATGATGATGACGTTCCTGCGCTCCTTGATATGATACATGGAGTGAATGTATGTTTGCATGTATGACTCGACTGAATGCAGCCGAGGGTTGCTCTCCTTGAACTTGTTCGTTGTCCGATACGTCACTGTCAACCAAAACTGTCGACAGCCAC